GGAGGAGGGGGGCCCTGTTCCCGAGCACGTGGGTGCACCAGCACACTTATGTACATGCGACCCGCCCCCGCCGTGTTCCGTCAACTCAGCCCTCGGACCCCCAGATAACTGAGAGAAGTGGAAGTGCACTGTCGCGGTTACCAGAGGCACCGATTATTTCCTCTCTCTTCTCTTCCTGTCTCCTGACCTTCCTTTCTGGCTTTCTTTCTCTGTCATTCTTTTTACCCTGTCCAGTCTCCACTTTCACAAAGGACCCGAGGTGTCCTGCAAAACAAACAATTGCATGGACCTAAGTTAGTATGTTAAGGCTGAAAAAAAGTTCAGAAATGACATGGCGGAAGAGGGTGGGTCCTAACGCCAGGTGCCAGCAATGCTGTGGTTGCGGTGGTTGAACACTGAATTTGACTGAGCTTCTTGGCAGCCAAAGCAAAAAGGGGCAAACCGTGGTTTCCAGTGTTCCTCTTGCTCAACCACAGGCAGGCTAACTATTCATCAGGAGAGGAAAACAAAACGTCAGGGGCACTGAACTGCAGGAGGGATTGGCAAGGACTTTGAATATTCTTAAGGGCAGTGTTTCCCGAGGTTAAAAAAAAAAAAGTTCTTAGTGTGGCTCTTTTATTTCCTCTAACTAATGTTGAATGCCTGATACCTTCTCACAGACCAGTGAAAGCACTTCCCCAGAGGCTTTAACACATGGTGGCCAAGGACGTTGTTTGCTGGTCACCTGACTTGATGAGGGGAAAGGGGAGAGGGGTAGGGGAAGGTTAGCATATCACTTGGGGTTCTTGTTCAAACCCTTCTCAGTTAATTTTTGAGTGTTGTGGCTAATGTCATGCTACTGGACCGTATATTCATTCACCAAGCGCTTAGGGGGCTCTAGGGATGTTCCCTGTTCCATGATCTCAAGGCAGCCTAGAGGGAGATAGACAAACGGCCATTAAACATGGTAGAAGTATGGCAATGGAGGTCTGTGGACGTAAGGAAGCATTGACAAAGAGTCACTATTTCTCTGTAGACATAGGGGACCCGGGAATGGCTTCCCCAAGGAGGTGACGTTGGAGCTGGGTCTTGTGGACAGTGTAGGAGTTCTCTACGAGTCCTCCAGGCCGGGGTAGGACTGCCGGGAGTGGCTGAGGAGCAGGGGAGCCCAGGAGATTGGAGAGAATCATCGGCAGCTCCAAGGGACAGGCAGTGACGAGGACTCAGGGAATAATTACACACCAAAACTAAATGTTAGCATCCCCTGGCTCACGCAGGAGCAGAGTAAGAGATGTGGAATCCTACCCAAGAAGAGAGTCTAGGTTTGGACCAAGCCCTGCCACGTGGTGGTGGTGGGAGGTACAGATAGCCAAGGGCAGCTGAGGGAGGGTTTCCAAGTCCCCTGTCCCCAGGGCTCCCACTCTTTAGAGAAGTTCACTCTACCTTCTGGCAGCCAGTGGTGGTTGGGAGACTGGATTTTTGGACCTCCTACCACATGTGTAACACAAGTTAAAGATTTTTATCTTGGAAAGGGGATCCAAACCCAACTGTCAAAGTGACTGGACAAACTTTGACAGTGAATTTATTGACCAAAACAAAATCAAATAGCTAAAAGACCCTTCCAACTGGGCATCAGAGACATTAAGAAGCAGAATATCCCCGTTGGTCACCCTCTTGCAATTTTCTTAAAGCTAGGTTGGTTCTGCTTTCTTGGGGGAAATAAAGGCTTTCCCTTGCAGACCCAGCTGCCCAGCCTGGAGTCCAGGAAGGGGGTAGGTCTGGCAGTGGGGTACAGAGGGGCTCAGGGATGCTGACTTTTGGTTGAGATTGCTGTCTGGCCCGCCTAAGGATGGCTCATTCATGTGTTCATCCATGTGTTCCCTGTGCAAGCCCATCAGAGTTGAATCCCAGCTTAACTACCTTTCCGTCTTTGCCTCTTCTACTTTCACTTCCTTCAACGATTGGCATGTGCCCTGTTTCCAGATCACTCCTGTCCTCTTATCTCTGAGCCTTCCTGCAGCACTTATCAGCCTTGGGGGTTGGGGATTGCTCAGACCCAGGTTCAGTGCCGCCTGCCCAAGAGCCCTGTCCTGACCACTTCCCACTCCATGGTCAATGAATGGTTCTGCACTCCTGTTCCTCTTGGATAAAGCTTCTGGGCCATGTGTCTTTTCCCTCGGGGTTTGTGGATGAGGGTCAGAGAGCATGTCTGGCCTTCACATGTCGTCTTGCGCACAAGAAAGGCTCAATAAACACTGAACATTCATTATGCTCAGGCCTCCGTAAGGGCACTGGTAATACAGAGAGGAGGGAGGCCTGTCCTCTACCCCAGAGTCCCAGGAACTCCAGAAGACACCATCTTGGAAGAAACCCTTACAGATTTGTTTTGACCTCCTTCTTTTTTTTTTTTTTGCTCATGACAATGCACTGAAGGAGCCATTTCAGTGAGCTTTACTTCCGAGTTCCTTTTTTAGCAAATTAGGCAGCTAATGCCATGACCAGGTCCAATTCTGTGGGGGATGAAGTCTAGACAGTGACCGTTTCTCAACAGCTCCTTGCTGCGTGGAATGAAAACTTTGCTGGTCCTGACCTGAAGCAAGAAAGACATCCTCATCTCCACCTAGTATATCTGTATCCACTTATATGTGAAACCAAGATTTCCAAAACAGGACTTTTGCTGTGTGTAAGAACCTTGGGTATTTTCTGTTCTAGTCCATTCTAATTTCATTTTTTAAAATATTGGCACTAGCAAATTGATTTTGCATCTGTTAACAGATCAGGCCTCACAGTATAAAAATCATCAGAGTCATTGTCAAGACTTTGGAGTCAGATGGATCCAGGTTGGAATCCTGGCTGTGGCACCTAGAAGCTGTGTGACTTTAAGCAAGCTGCTTCCCTTCTATCATAGGTCTCAGTTTCATCGTCTGTAAAATGGGGATAACATAGAACCTGCTTCATGGAGTTACTGTGAGGATTAAATGGAACATTCAGGTAAAGCTCCTCACACAGAGCAAGTGATCAATAAATGTGAGTTTTTGACATGGGTGTGAAGATTGTGGTTCTGATTGCCCTGGCATGACCACTTGGTGGGGCCAGCAGAGCAAAGGTGGGTCACCTGCCTCCTATGGAATGGTAGTCAGGAAGGACTTCCTGGAGGAGGAGGCATCGGATCAGGGTGGCAGGATGACTGGGACCCCCTCCTGTCCTCACAGTGACCAAGAACCCTGTGTGAGCATCCCAGGACCACTTGTTCCCAAGGATTTTTGGCTGGACCTAGAGCCAACCACATTAGATGCCTTTGCTTTTCCCATTTAGGTCTCCAATCCACCTGGAATTGATTTTTGTGTCTGGAGTAAAGTAAAGATCCAATTTCTTTTTTCCCCCTTGTTTCTGAATGGATAACTGGTTACCCCCGCCCTGTTGATTAGAGTCCATCCTTCCCTGCTGATTTGTACATCCCTTCTCTCATATATCAAGGTTCCATATATGCACAGATCAGTTTCTGGACTCGCTTCCATTTCATTGATCTATTTATCTGTCCCTGTGCCAATCCCACACTGTCTTAATTACTACAGCTCTACAGTGATTCCTGATGTCGAAAGGCGTGTCCCTATCTTGTCCTTCTCCCTTAGAAACCTGTGCTCTTCTCTGCGTGTTTCAGAATCAGCCTCTGCTGGAGATGATTGAGAGCCCCAGGAGCTCCGGACAAAGCTGTCCTCAGTGAGGCTCATGGCAGGATGCCTGGGCCTGCAGTACCTCGTGGACTCATGGCTGCCAGCCACCCCAGTTTGAGCTGCCCAAGAATTCTTTCTAATTCATAGCCTGAGAGAAGCACCAGGAATATGCCTGAGTCTGAGTCCCATCTGCCTGCCACTGGCCCAGGGGTTCCCCTGGTTACATGACCTGTGGCTCAGTCCTCAGCATCCTACCCAAGGTGCCCAAGACTGCTTGCTTCCCTTTCCCTGTCTGCCAAGGACATAAGCCTGGACAGACAGGGATATGCCCTCCATTGGCAAGGCCAGGGTCCTGGAGGGAACTGCTCACACTAGAATTTGGCATGCACACCCAAAGTCTCTGGCTTAGGTGTTTGTAAATATTTTCTTTACCTGAAAATCAGCCTGGGGGTTGGGTGGAAGGAAGAGACCTGGCATTCATGCTTCTCATTTCGTCTGTCCCTGAATGTGAAGACCCAGGTTGGCATCTTCTGGAGACCACTCTGATGGCGGGCTTGCATGCCAAGGAAATGACTCATCACAAGCTTTGATTTCATGAAATGGCTTAACGAAAGGAGCACGACTGTGGGCCAGGCGCCCATGGTTGGCGTGGCCATGCTCAATCTGAGGTGTGCGCCCCGCAGTTCTCAGCAGACAGGTGCTCACATGCTTTCGGGACTCAGAAACACTCGCCAAACCCGTGGTTCGTTTGGTTTTACTGTTTTGGATTTTGAGTGAGAGTTTTTGGAGGACGACTCTCTGGACTGGGATTCTGCCCTGTTGGCTGTGGACAAAGCCCTCTTCGCCTTGGGCCTCAGTTTACTCATCTACGAATTGAAGGCCTGGCATGATGATGTCTCGGACTCCCCTTAGCCTTGTTTCTGTGATTCTGCATCTGTGGTTTAAGAGCATTGAAATCGGACACTTTTCACTCCATCCTCTTGGCAACAAGACTCTTATCTCTGCCTTGCTTTTGGTTACTGACCTCTCCCTCCCTGCTTGGAAGAGGCCGTCTGTGGCCGCTGGGGCTGGGCTGGTGGCGTCTGCAGCCTCAGGAAGCTAGGGTGGGATTCTCGTGCAACTGCTCTGAATCCTGCCCACCTCCTCCCCCCGGGGGAGAACTGCTGAGTTTGGATACCGGTCTTGTTCTATTGAGTCGGACCTGCCTTCTCAACACTTGGGGTGGCCTTGGCGCCAGCATGAGCTAACCCAGCGAGGTGGCTGAACCCCAGAATGTGGTGCTGGCATTTGGCTGAGGTGCTTTGGAGTCTTGATACTGAGCTTTCTCTGTTTTGTTTCCTCTTTCAGACCACTGAGTATTCAGCGATGGCCTCGCTGGCTGGAGGGCTGGATGACATGAAGGCCAACCTGACCAGTCCCACCCCCACCGACATCGGGAGCAGCGTGCCTGGGCCGCAGTCCTACCCCATTGTGACAGGTGAGGGCATCTAGGGTGGAGGAGAGAGAGAGAGAGACTGAGACTGCCTGCGTGGTGGGAAGAGTGGCTTGGTGCTTTTGGACTTGACTGGCCATTTTTTGTTTTAATAAGGTTATGAGGTCCCAGAATTGGTCAGGCAGGAGACTGCTGGGGCTGGGGGTTGTGACTGTGATGAGACATGGCTTTCTGTTGCTCTGATAAAGCCAGAGGAGAGCAAATGCCAAATGGACCATGGGTTGGGACAGACGGCAGGGGAGGCCCATGGCAGAGGGGCCTCAGTGATTTTGGGATCTCCTGTGGGTAGGGCCTGGCGTTCAGTCCTTCTCATGAGAAGGATAGCCTGGCTGGTGAGACTTGAGAAAGAGCAGACTTCTGTCAAACTGTCATTGACATTTCAGATTTCCAGGCAGAGGCTGAGTCAAGAAGGGCAAGAGGTTTAGGCTGGAAGGTGCTTGGTGGATGCAAAATAGCTGCCTTTCTAGAAGGCCCAGGGCCAGCCTCTTTAGCTATCAGTATAAAGAGTTTGGACCCTGGAGGCACACTGCTGGATTTGAACTTGCCATTGACTAGCTCTCTAAACTTGGGTAAATTATATAAGAATTCTGGGCCATGTTTTAAAAAAAAAAATCCCTAAAATGGGATTGGTGATAGCACCTGACCCATAGTGTTGTTGCGAGGATTAATTCGTCAATACATATAAGGTGCTTAGGCTCTTGTTTAGCACATAGCAAGCAACCAATACATGTTGCTGTTATTATTCCTCTCAGAGCCTTCTCATGATGGCTGGTCATCATTGTGAGGCTTGGTGCTGCAGAAGGGCCTGCACTAGAAGGGCTGGGTAGATACCTCTTCCTCCTCCAGCAGCAGTGGGATAATATGGGAGGACAGACTCTGGAAGTTTGTCCAAGTTGGCAGGCAGGAAGCAGTCTCAGATACTAGACAGACAGATAGTGGGAGGCTTGGGGGTGGCGCTTAGGCCAGAGCCTAGGCGTCCAGCCCAGGGTAGCAGGATGTCCCTGTAGGCTGATAGGCAGGACATGGTAAGAAGTAACAGAGACAGGGGTTCTTAGAAGTATAGGTGGGCTATGGTTATGTCAGGGAAGCTGGGAACTGGGCTTAGGTTAGAACTTTTGGGGAGGGCCTGGATGTCACATAGGCTCCAAGACAGTGAGAACCTAACCCTAAGACCTGTGCTGATATTTTGGCACTGGGGCTCATGGGGCTCAGACAGTGGGGGTCCTGTTTGCCCATCCTGACAAGAACCTGGAGGCAGCTGAGCTGGTGCAGGTGGGGAAGTGTCAGCATTGGGACAGGTATAGAGGCTGGGGAGCCTCAGTTAGAGCGAGGCTTTACTGACAGCACAGATATCCCCTGAGGTTCTCTCCCCCAGAAGGCTGCAGTTGGCCCAGGCAGCAGGTCTGGGCATGGATTGAGTTTTCAGATAAACCTTTGACCAAAGACTTATTCGTACTCCAGAATGAAGTCCGAATGATGCTTGATCTTTAAATTTTTTTTTAATTTTGGAGATAATTCTAGTCTCTGACCCATTCTTACTCTTTGTGTTGCTTTTAACTTTCATCTTTCCTGAAAACACATTAAATTACCTGCTGTAGAATATTAAAAGCACTCAGGTAGTGGAAGGTATAGAAATGTACCATTGGAAGAAATATTTTCTGCCTTGTTCTGGGAAAAATAGAGAAAATGGGTTTTTTGGCATGCCCTTCCCCAGAGGTGTGTTTTTCTGGGTGTTCATCGCTGAAGGGTATTTCTGTAGAGGACCATATAGGGCTATGAGAGCAAGATATGAGGTGGCAGACGAAAGCTGTTGGGAAAAATCAGTATTACATTACATGAAGAGCTCTTACTATATCTAAGACCACTTCATGATCATGTGCAATTCTGAGCTATTTTATTTTATTACAATTTTTTAAAATTCAGGGGCACCTGGGTGGCTCAGTCAGTGGAGCATCTGACTCTTGGCTTCAGCACAGGTCATGATCTCAGGGTTGTGAGATTGAGCCCCGTGTTAGGCTCCACTCTTAGGAGGGAGTCTGCTGGAGATTCTCTCTCCCTTTGCCTCTGCTCCTCCCCCCCCACTCCCCTCTCTCATGCACACTCTAAGAATAAATAAATACATCTTGTTTGAAAAATTCAATCGATTTTTTAAAAGTTCACCCATGTCTTGATTTTGCATAACCATATCCTGGATTTTGAAATATTAGAAGTATTCTAATTATAAATACAATCATTAGCTTTCTTGTGAGTAAACAAATAGCTAGCTAGAAAAATAATAGAAGAAGAGTCCTTTAACAATAGCACCAGAAAAACCCCAAATGCTGAGGAATAAACTTCACTTTAAACTCCACTAAGGACATGAAAGAGGGGCACCTGGGTGGCTCAGTCATTAAGCATCTGCCTTCGGCTCAGGTCATGATCCCAGGGTCCTGGGATCGAGCCCCGCATCGGGCTCCTGCTCTGCGGGAAGCCTGCTTCTTCCTCTCCCTCTCCCCCTGCTTGTGTTCCCTCTCTTGCTGTGTCTCTCTCTGTCAAATAAATAAATAAAATCTTAAAAAAAAATAAATAAAATAAACTCCACTAAGGACATAAAAGAATAAATGGAGAGATATAACTTGTTCTTGGGCAGGAAAACTCAATATCATAAAGATGTCAGTTTTCCCTAAGTAATCTACTCATTCGCAATCCCAATCGAACTAGCAGCAGAATTTTTCTTTTTTTTGGAACATGTCTAAATGATACAAAATACTGGAAGAATAAGCACTCAAGGATCGCTAAAAAATTCTGAAATAGAGAAATGAGCAAAAGTCGTAGCCTATTTAAAAACATTATGATAAAACAGCAGCAATTAAAACTATTTTTTGTTTTTGTTTTTTACAATTTATTTATTTATTTAAGTAATCTCTATACCCAGTGTGGGGCTTGAACTCACAACCCAGAGATCAAGAGTCATTCCCTCTCCTGACTGAGCCAGCCAGGTGCCGCTAAAGCTATTTGTAACTGAAACTAAAGTAAACAGACAAATATAATAGCATAAAGAGTCCTTAAATGGATCCAAATTATATGTGGGTGTTTATAAATGTAGTATTTCTTTTTTTTTGTTTTGTTTTTGTTCTTTTTTAGTTTTATTTTATTATGTTATGTTAATCACCATACATTACATCATTAGTTTTTGGTGTAGTGTTCCATGATTCATTGTTTGCGTGTAACACCCAGTGCTCCATTCAATACGTGTCCTCTTTATCAAATCAGTAAAGATAAATCATTCAGTTAATGGTGTTCAGACAACTGGGTTTGTTGGATAGATACCCCACTTTCAATATCAAAAAAAATTCCAAGTTGATCTAAACTTCGTAAAAAATGAAACCAATAATAAACTAGAAAAAAACGAGGGATACTTTTTATAATCTTAGAGTGGAGAAAGCTTTAAAAATCTGTTCCAAATTATAAAAGACAAAGAAAAAATAATACAAATGGCAGTTAAAAATGTAAGTCTTTTGTATGTGATGTAAAATTCAGAATTATTTATAATGGCAAACAAATGGAAACAATGCAGTGTCTGTCAATAGGAGCTGGTTAAATAAATTATGGCTCCTTCATAGCACAAAATACTATGCAACCAATTAAACCAATTAAAAAGAATTAAGTAGAGCTGTCTATGCCGAAATGACGGAATGTCCAAGATATATTTTTAAGTACATAAATCCTTTGTAAAATACTGTGTGAAGTATGATCCCGTTGGTGTGGAAAAATATAAAGGACACACAGAGGCATGGGTGCACACAGGCAGGTCGGAGGCTTGTAGATTCCCTAGTCCTTCCCCTGCTTTATGAGGCATTGTGATTTTGGGGTTCTCTGCCCAGTCCCAGCCAGCATCCCCTTGGGATAGCAGATATTAACAATGCCCCTTTACTCTCCTAAAATAAAGTTCATAAAAACAATCTTCACATCTGATTTCAAATAAAGTAAAAATAACGCCTTAATTATGAGATACAGGAAGAATGAAAGTGAAACTGTTTATAATTAAATACTATGTACTTTGGGGGCGCCTGGGTGCCAGTTGGTTAAGCGTCTGCCTTTAGTTAGGGTCATGATCCCAGAGTTCTGGGATTGAGCCCCAAGTTGGGCTCCCTGCTCAGTGGCGAGTCTGCTTCTCCCTCTCCCTCTGTGCCGCGGCTCGTGCTCTCTCTCATTCTCTTTCTATCTCAAATAAATAAATAAAATCTTTAAAAAAATACTATGTACTTTGATAAGTAAATACTCTGCCTGATTAAACTGCAAGACATAATGAAGTAGTTCAGGGCCTGCCCCGTGCACAGAATCACTGTGAACGCCACAGCCCTGAGCAGGCTTAGGGACTCGTACTTACTCATACAGTGAGCATGATTTTATGAATAGGTGAGGAACTCTTGGCAAAGTTCCAAGTAAAATATTAAGGTACAAGCTTTGCTCGGTTTACACAGTCGTTGCATTCCTAGAAAATTCAGTGTATATTAAGACCATGGAAATTGCAAGTTCACATTTATATGCAAATGAAGTTCAGTGCTAGATTTAAATAATTATAAACAGATTTTTCACCTGTCCTGTTGGGCAGGACATGACAGTCGTGCAAGATGAAAGGAAACTTCACAGTGGGGACTGTTCCACCGCAAGGCAGTGATGCCTCTCAATCGTTGAAAAGCCCCAACAAATTTTCCAAACACCCTCTAGGGGGCAGTTGCTGACCCCACTGAGAAGCGCTAGAACACCTTGAAGGAATGCCCCCAAGAGCTGTTAGGATGGCCTCCATGTGACCACGGGGCAGTGATTGAATTCCACTTGTGTTCGTGGATGTGTTGACACAGTTCTGAACTCTACGGGGAGACCAGCCCCATGCCTTACCTTCTCTGCTCCCCACAGAGCCCAGAGCGTAGTTGGTGCTCAGCTGGACTGTGAGCCAGCTCAGGGCTCTAGCTGGAGTCCGGGGGAGGGGTGGGGTGGGGGAG